TCTGTAGACAGGGTTCTGATAGACAGACTGTCTCTCTCTCTTTCTCTCTATTCCCAGGAATTTCTCTATTTCCTCCTTGAACATAACGGCTGAGATGCCATTATCCTACAGCGGCAGACCATTCCCAAAGGATCACCACCTTTTGAGTGGAGAATCACTTTCTCATTTCTGTCTGACACAGCCGACCCTCCATTTGTTCTGATTGGCCTTGGAGAAGAGGGGGAGAGAGAGGGAACCGAAGCCTGAGCCAGAGAGCACACAGATTCTCTGCACCGATCCTGACAGGAACTCTCTGTGTTTGAACACAATGGCCTCTTATTCTTTGGACAGCCCTATCATCACAGGAACCCAGCCTGTTGAGTTGCATCTTTTCTGAGGGACGTGCCTCCTTCCACAGAGACAGACACTGGTCAGATTGTCTCAGGACGTGTTTCTCACCAAAAACAGCTGCAGGAGAAATCTCTCACTACCAGACTCCCAAGGCCCCTTGTCCTGAGAGCTAACAGATCAATGAACGTCCACCTCCCTCGGATCACTGACTCCGGGCAATGGGATGCCCTGGCAGCCCTTTTCCAAACCTTCACCCTGACCCTCCTCCATCACCTGCCCACCCTCTGGGGCTCACCTCCGCTTTCGCTCTCTTCTCCGATGCCATCAGCTGGACTTTGTCTCTCTGCTCTTTTGGTGATGAGCGGTACATGTCCAACAGGAGTTTCATCTCCTTCTGACTCTCCTGCGCTCTCCTGTACACACCGGGGGTGGGGGAAACAAAAAGGAAAAAACAGCACAGCGGTTAGGTGACTGACCTCGCAGTTCACAGGCCTGAACTAAAATCGGAGAGGCACGAGTTCAAATCCTGGCCCCGGCAGCTGCGATTTCACAATCGATTAAATATAAGAAAGAAAGCACATCTGGACATTAGTAAAGATAAGGGTGCTGAGCTGTCTCTGGTTCACTCTGGATGTGTACTGCTGTAATCTACACAGTCCTACAGCAATGTTGTTCACCCTTAACCACCCTCTGAAATGGAACCGGCCACTCACTTGCGCCCATAAGAGTTTCTCAATGCCTCATCCCGTCATGCCTACATCCCACGGGTGAAGAGAAGTAAGTGGGGACAGGATAAGGAGGTGCTGCATATTCAGTGTTCAAAAACAGAGGCTTGACCATAAATTTATACCACACCGATTGTGAAGCGTACTGTGCTCTTCCAGTCTCCGTATCCCCGAGTTATTCCACACTGGGAGCACTGCGCACAGTCCCTGTCTCCGTATCCCCGAGTTATTCCACACTGGGAGCACTGTGCACAGCTCCTACACAGGACATACAGCCATCAACTTACTTCAGTTCCCCTCGGAGCTGTTTGACCATCTCCGCCTCCTTTTTCTTGGCGTCTTCAGGTTTGCTCCTCTCCCTCTCCTTCTCCACCTTGTCCTTCTCCCGTTCTTTCTCAGCGTCCTTCTCCCGCCCCTTCTCCCTGGCCCTCTCTCTCTCCTTCTCGCGCCTCTCTCGCTCCCTCTCTTTCTCTTTCTCCTTCTCCTCTTCCTGCTGTTGCTGCTGCTGCTTGCGTTGCTTAGCCGCGTCGGCCTCCTCTTTCTCCCTCTTGCTGCTGCTGTCCTCGGGCTCCTGTTTGACATCCGGGCCTTCCTCCTTGACAAGCTCAGCCCCAGCCTGTGTCTGCGTCCCGCCGGATCCCCGCGACCGGACCTGGAACAAGAAACGGAGAGTGGGGACGGTGGTGGACAGTGTACTTTCCTGAGGACCGTCAACCCGCACCATTCAACAAGCCCCCAAGCCCCGCAGCTCGCTTACTCCCACTCGAGAGTCAGGAAGGGCCCAGGCTTGGACTGGGCCTGTGCTGACTTCACAGGCGGAGCTTCTGATAGGCTGCCAGAAGAGACCGACCAGGACAGGTCTGGGATCAGGGACCTCATCCGAAATGGAGAGACTTAAGCAGCTAGAATCGCTGGGAGGTGATGGCCTCATTAATCCAGACCATGCTCTGGGGACCCGGGTTCGAATCCCACCCCTGGCAGATATTGAAATTTGAATTCAACAAAAATACGGAACTAAGAATCCAATGACAACCACGAAACCATTGTCGATTAGCGGTTCACTAACGTCCCTTTAGGGAAGGTAACTGCCATCCTTACCTGGTCCAGCCTGCACGTGACTCCAGGCCCACAGAAATGTTCATAGAATCCCTACAGTGTGGAAACAGGCCCTTCGGCCCCTCCGAAGAGCATCCCACCCCGACTCATTCCCCTACCCCTCTGTTTCCCCATGTTTAACCCACCTGGACACTACGGGACATGGCCAATCCACCTTAACCTGCACATCTTTGGACTGTGGGAGGAAACGGAGCACCCGGAGGAAACCCACACAGACACAGGGAGAATGTGCAAACTCCACACAGACAGTCGCCTGAGGGTGGAATCGAATCCGGGTACCTGGCACTGTGAGGCAGCAGTGTTAACCACTGAGCCACCGTGCCACCCATATTTGTTATTAATTTGATTTAGAGATGGGCAATAAACGCCAACCAAGCCAGCAACGCCCTCAATCCCGTGAATTAATCTTTTAGTAGATCATTGCCCCGGGGGACCAGGGAAGAGTTCAAGAGAAATGGTTTGCGCTGACGGAAATTTGGGTCAAATATAATTGACCAAACGAAGGTGGAAATGAAGGGAGCAATTTTTTTTTATAAACAACACGCAGCGAGCTGTTTGTGATTTGGGACGCTGAGAAGACCACCGGCGATGGACGCAATTTAAAAAACACATTCCCAAGGGAACAGGCCATGGATTCGAACAGGGTCCATTCACAGGAGTTGCGAGTAGGGGCAGGCCGAGTCATACAGGAGGTCAAACCGCGTCGTTCCTCAAGGGGGTGGCAGAGGCTCGATGGGTCAAACGGCCTCAGTCTCAGTCTGCGCTGGGGTATTTGTCCCCCCCCCGCACCCACCGAAACTCCCAGTCGCCGCTGCCATCTGACCCCCCCCCCCCCCCCCAAACCACTCCGAGTGCCTTCACTCACCAGGCCCAGCTCGCTGTGGGTGTCCCAGACTTTCCTGCGCACCTTGGCCAGCTCGGTATGACTGTCTCGCAGCCGCCGTTTGTAACGTTGGACATCACCCTTCAGCTGATGGTTGTGGTTCTGTAGGCTGCTGATCAGGTGACGCATCTCCCGGTTGATGGGCCCTGAACAGGACGAGGGGAGGGGAGTGGAGTGGTGGTCAGAGATCCTGGACAGGGGAGAGTATCCCTACCCCCCACCTCTCATAGCGTTGGATGAGCGGGAGCAAGAGCTTTGTCTCGTGTGGTTCTGCGCCCAACTGGCCCCAATCTCCTCCATCTCATCCTTTTCCCTCCAATTTGTTCTCACCTCCCCTCCATCATTTCCACCGTCGCTCTTTCCCTGCCTTCCCTGCCTTCCCCATCTCTCTCCATATCTTCCCCCCTCTGCCCCCTCTTCCCCGTTCCCCTTCCCCTCCTCCTTTACTCATAAATCCCCCCCTGCCCCCAATCCCACGCCCCCCACCTCATCCACCACCCTCCAATCTTCCCCGCCTCACCCCCTGACTGCAAACCCCTCTTCCCTCCACAATCACACCCCCACCCTCAATCCCCACCACCTCTTATACATCGTCCCTCCACCCACCCACCCATCCATCCATCCATCTTCTCTCTCCTTCCCCTTTCCTCCTTTCTCTCCCCATCCATCAGCCACCTCTCATCGCCCACTCTCTCCTCAGACTCTTCCCCCCACCTGGTGCTGCCCCCACCCCGCTCACCGGCTTGCTCGTTGGCGGCGAGGGTCTGCTCAAATTCGATTCGCAGCATCTCGTACTCTTTCCGGACCTGGGCCAGCGTGTCCTCCAGCTGCATCACTTCAGTGCGCAGCTTCTTCTGCAGGCCTACCTCATCGCCCTGCGGACCAACACAGGCAACAGCGAGGACAACCGTTAGCACAGGCCTTGCCCCACACACAGGGGGTGGGCGGGGTGGGTGGGGGAGAGGGGACATGGGTTACACCACGACCCTCATCCCCATCCCCGCCTCCACACACAGAAACGCGTGCGCGCACCGTCCCGTTCGCCCCATTTCCCATTCCTCCCCCCCACCACAGGGTCACACGCACCGACCACCGACCACCCCCCACCCACCCCCCCCACCCCCCACCCCCCACCCCCCATCCCCCCAGGTTGCACATGCTGCCCTGTTCCGTCCCGCTTCTCCACACCCCCCCAAACCACAGGATCACACACGCCGCCCTCCCCACCCGTTCCCCACAGGGTCACACACACACACCTCCCAGCCCCCACACAGGGTCAAACACATTGTCCCATCCCGTCCCCCACAGGGTCACACACACACACACACACACACACACACACACACAACCACCACCACCACCACCACAACCGCCACCGCCCACCGCCCAGTCCCCAGGGTCACAACACACCGCCCCCTGACCTTTGCCAAGGCCACAGATTCCTGGCCTCCATTCCCAAACAGTATCCAGTGATCTTTCACTGACCTTCACAGGGTGCCCAGTCGGAGTGGGAGTGGGGTGGTGGGGAGAAGGGGGTGGGGGGGGGGGGGCGAGCCGGAGGGGGGGGGGGGGGGGGAGGGGGGGGGGGGGGCCAGTCGGAGTGGTTCTGGGGCCAGGGCAGGCACCGTGCTCACCTCCATCTGCTCCACTTGCCGTTGGTGTGTGGTGCGGGTGGTGAAGAGCAGGCTCCGGGCATCGTCCATCTGGGCCTTGAGCTGCAGGCTCTCATTGTACAGCACAGAGAACTGGGATTGCAGGCAACGGAACTCCGGGGAATCCTTTACCATCTCATTGGCAAGAGACTTCAACTGATCCTGGACACAGGGCACACAGGTTAATCCAAGTGTGATAGGGAGGGTGGGGGGGGTGAGAGAGAGAGAGCGAGAGAGAGAGAGAGACACACACAGACGCGGGGAGGGGGGGAGAGAGAGACAGAGTAAAGGGGGGGGATACAGAGAGACAGGGCAAGGTGGGGAAGGGAGCGCACAAGTGAGAGAGAGAGTGAGCGCGAACGAGAGGGCGAGACAGCAAGCGCGAGCAAGAGCGATTCACCAAAGTAGAGCATATGCAGGAACGGAAAAAGGCTACTTAGCCCCTTGAGCCTGTGCATAGGGACACAGAAAGGTCATTCTGCTCCAGCTGTTCTCTACTGTATGAGGGAGACGACAGGAGTAGGCGAGAATGGGAAATGGATCGGGGGATCTTGTACAGGCAGAACGGAGATGAAGTAGACAGAGGATTAGAAGGGAGTGTGTGAACAGTGAAGACAGGAGCAGGCTGATCAGTGGGAGCGGAGTTTTGGAGGGGGTGGGTGGGATGGAAAGGATTAGAACTCACCCTCAGCTTCTCGTTGTCACCAGTAACCATCTGGAGATCCTGCCGCATCTTCTCTAGCTCCGAGAGACGGTTCAACGCTAACTCCTTGTTCTCTTCCAGGTCACAATTCATTTCTTCAAACTACAGGGAACAAGCAGTACTAACATTACCAAGAGGTGCTGCACCTCCGACAGCGCGGCGCTCCCTCAGCCTGCGACACTGAAGGAAGGCTATTTTCCTACAGGAGGATGTAGTGGTGATTTTCAAGAGTAATAATGGCCTGAGGAAGTTCAGGTTATATGGAGAGGTCGGGAAAGATGGAATTGTCCTGCTTAAAGTAGAGCAGGTAAGGGGGACATCTGATCGAGATGTTCAAAACTGTAAAGAGTTTTGAGCAGGCCTATGAGGGAAAACTGCTGACAATGACCGAGGCTCAGAAACCACAGGATGCAAATTTAAATAACCACATAAATTCAAGAGAAAGGGATATATTTTGATGCAGTGAGATGTGATTCAGTGACAACTTTCAGAACAGAATTGGATTAATACATGGAAGGGAAATCTCCGCAAGTGGAGCGTGAGTCTAACTGAATCAGTCTTTTGAAGAGCTCGCACTCGAATCGCAGGCTGAACAGCCTCGTGATGTGATGGTGTATTTGGATGTGTTACTTGGAGTGAGCGTTCAGCTGCTGATTCGATGTTGGTATGCCAAAGGCAGTGAGCAGTCAATGTGCCAGTTCTGAGGGATAACACTTGATCCAGTGAGATTACCAAGAGCTAAGGCGATCAGAAACGCCGAATGCAGCCTTTACCCCGACCGCCTGGATAGAGGACATGACCCAGCCCCTGTCCTCCCCCCTCACTGCGGCTCTGCGGAACAGTACCTTTCGCGCGTTGATGGTCACAGTCCCACCGTACAGATTACTCGATCCTCCATAGACTTTGTAACCTTTTGATTTGACCTGGAGCAGCAGAGAAAAGGCCAAGTGTCAAACTCATCACAACATTACAGCCAATATATACACCTGGGAGAGTTTGATGGGGACAGTGTAGATGAATCTTCACTCTGTATCTAACCCTGTGCTGTCCCTGTCCTGAGAGTGTTTGACAGGGGCAGTGTAGAGAGAGCTTTACTCTGTATCTAATCCCGTGTTATCGCTATCCTGAGAGTTTTTGACAGGGACAGGATTAAAGGAGCTTTACTCTGAGTTTAACCCCATGCTGTACCTGCCCTGGGAGTGTTTGATGGGGACAATGCAGAAGGAGGTTCACACTCTGTTGAATGTGAGGCGTATCTATCCTGGGACAGCACATTGCTGACACTGAGTATGTAGCGCCCCACTAACAGTCAGGATATTGGAGTGATTGTAAGGAGGTCAGCCAGGTGGAGCTCAGGAATATGCGGCTGTTAATCGGGTCCAATCAGGGAGCCCTGGCTGACAATAAAAAGGGCGTGTGTCAGAGATACTGACTCTGAATGAGGCAGTGTTAGAGTCGAGGACCACTCCTGTGTAAATACAGACCGACTTGGTGATGGATACTGGCCTCTGCAGAGTTATTTGAGATGTAACTCTGTTCCCTCCGAGTCCCTCCACATTCTCACCCGCTCGAGCACCTCCGCCAGATGCCTGTTGAGTCTCTGCTCCCGTTTGCGAATCTTGTCAGTGTCCCACTGCAGGTCCTCGATTGTGGTCTGCATGTCTGACAGGCGACTCTCTGCCTCCTCGAGCTTCCCCTGGAGCTCCGAGAACTGACGGGCAGGGATGGTAAGACAAAGAGAGCGAGAGCGCGCACGAGAGAGCGCGCGAGGGTGTATGGAAAACCAAGGGAGGAGCAGCAAAGTGTGGATAAACGGGATAGAGTCACAGAAAGAGTTAGTGTGAGGGAAAGACACACGAAAATGGGGAGAAAGGGGGCGATGGAGTGAGGGAGCGAGAGAGAAAGGGGGCGACAGAAAGACAGAGAGGGAAAGGGAGAGATAGGTGTGTGAGGATAAAAAAAGGGAGAGAGAATGATCATATATTTACTCATTGGTGCAAAACAGAGATGTTGGGAATACAAAATAAGATTTGAGAAAGGATTTCATCAGCACACAGGGGGCAAAATTGAGACTAATGGACCAATGGTGGCCCCTCATTTAATCTAGCCGGTGCCACAACAAACCCCTCCCCAAAACCAGATTCCACCCCCTGCTCGCCCACGCCCCTCTCCCGGGACATCCCCCTGGGTCTTGCCTCTTGTGACATCTTGCGATGTTTCTCCCGCAGGCAGTCTGTCAGCTCCAGGAGCCTCTGATTCTCCTTCGAGAGGAGCGCGTTCAGCTCCCTCAGGGTATCCTCCAGCCGGGGCGAACCTGGGACAGTCAGCAGTCACACAGTTAAACACAGCGGTTAGGGGCAACATGGAAGATAGCGAACGCGAGTTCCTCAAAACGGGAGGCTGACAGAGAATAAATGAAAAGAGACGAAACAGGAAACCAGAGGCCAGTCGGTCTAACACAGTCTATCACGGGGATAGCACTGGGGTCGACGATCAAGGAGGCTACAGAAAATTCTCAATGCAATCAGGCAGAATCAACACTTTTTTCTCCCCCCATTCATTCACAGGGGATGAGGGCATCACTGGCCAGGGCAGCATTCATTGCCCATCCCTAATTGCCCAGAGGGCGGTTGAGAGTCAACCACGTTGCTGTGGGTCTGGAGTCACATGTAGGCCAGACCAAGTCGGGACGGCAGTTTCCTTCCCTACAGGACATTAGTGAACCAGATGGGCTTTTCCCAACAATCGACTCACGGTCATCATTAGTCTCCTTGATCCCAGATTTGTGAAGGAGAAAATCACGTTTTGTGGATTTATTGGAATATTTGAGGAGGTGATAAGGTAAAAGGCCAATCTGATGGATGCACTGTATTTGAATCCCAGACTGCATTTGACGAGGTGGCACAGCAAAGGTTATTGAGGCAAATATTACCACAGAGCGGGTGGTGGGGGGTGCGGTGAGTGCAGAGGCAACGTATTGTCCGGGACACGAGACTGTGGTCGGTTAATAGAAAGTACAGCAAGCACAAGTGATTATGTTCAGATCGGCAACATGTGATAAGTGGAGATTTTTTATTCACGCACAGGATGTAGGCATTGCTGGCTGGGCCCGCATTTATTGCTCAGCCTCGCTGCCCAGAGGGCGATAAAGAGTCAACCGGGTTGCTGAGGGTCTGGAGTCACGTGTAGGCCAGACCGGGTAAGGATGGCAGTTTACTTGCCGAGGGGACATGAGTGAACAAGATGGGTTTTTACAACAATCGGCAATGTATTCACGGTCATCGTTAGACGCTGAATTCTAGATTCCAGCACCAAGGCCTCAATGATTTAATGTTTACCTTAGTGACCTGGTTGACGGTGTGGGGTCACTAAATGGGAACATGGCGCAAAGGTAGGCGGGAGAGTTAGTTGTGAAGAAGGTTTAAGGAGGCTACAAATATATATATAATATATAGAGCACTTTGTTCACATGGAGAGACAATGCAGAATCGCTCATTTGTTACAGTGCAGAACGAGGCTGTTTGGCCCATTGTGTCTATGCTGACTCGTTAAATGAGCACCATTCCCTTGTGCCAATCTCCTACCCTTACACACCATTTCTATCCAAATAACCAGCCAATGCCTCCCCTGAATGCCTCAACTGCACCTGCCTCCACCATTCTCCCAGGCTGTGCATTCCAGACCCTAACCCTTTGCTGACTGAAAAGCCTTGTTCTCACTTCTTTAGCAAAGCGCTTTAAATCTACGCGCTCTCGTTCTTTTACGAGTGGGAACAGCTTTACCCTATCTACCCGAACCAGCCCGCTCATGATTTTGAAAACTTCCACCTGACCTCCACTCACGCTCCTTCTCTCCAAAGGAGAACAGTCCCGACCTCTTCAATCTATCCTCATCACTGCAGCGGGACCAATCTCGTAAACTGCTTCTGCACTCTCTCTCTCTAGTGTGTTCACAACCTTCCTGTAATGTGATGGCCAGACTGCACAGGAGCTGAGGGTCCCTGGTACAGGAATAATAAAAACGGCCGTGTGCAGGTGCAGCAAGTGATCAGAAAAGGGAAATGAACGTTTGTGGCACAGGGGGGGCATTGCATATTGAAGTAAAGATATACTGCCTCAAGTCATTACTCAATCCACATCTGTCCAGTTTTGGTCTCCTTACCTCTGGAAGGATATGTTACAATAGATGCTTGTTTGTTTGTGGATGTGATGCCATTCACTCCCTCCACCACTGAATAGAATCTACTATCTACAAGATGCACGGCAGAAATTCATCAAAGATCCTTAGACAGCACTTTCCAAGCCTACAACTACTTCCATCCAGAACGACAAGGGCAGCAGATACATGGAAACGCCACCACCTTCAAGCTCCCCTCCAAGACACTCACCACCCTGACTTGGAAATATATCGCCGTTCCTTCACGGTCGCTGGGTCCAAATCCTGGAATTCCTTCCCTTGAGGCATTGTGGGTCAACCCACAGCAGGGGGGCTGCAGCGGTTCAAGGCGGCAGCTCAGCCCCACCTTCTCGGGGGGGGGGGGGGGGCAACTAGGGACGGGTAATAAATGCTGGGCCCAGCCAGAGACGCTCATATCCCACAAAAATGAATAAAAACAAAAGCAGCTCAGATAGGGGTTTTGCTCAACCCTATCCTAGGTTTCGGGGTATGGAAGGAAGGCACAGTTACCCCAGGAAGAAAGGTTCATCCTGTATCCATTGGGGTTTAGAAGAATAAGAGGCGATCTTACTGAAATATAAAAATCTTCCAGGAGAGGGTACAAGGAAGGGTAGACTGTTTAAATGTATTGAAACTCCTACCTTGAGGACACAGATGAGGAGAAATTTGTTCTCTCACAGGGTTGTGAGCTTTTAGATCTCACTTCCCTGGAGAGTGGTAGATGTGAGGTGAGTGAATATTTTTAAGGCAGAAGTAGATAGCTCTTTAGAAGGTACAAGCAGTGGAAGACTTTTCCCCTCACACACATCAAAACTACAACGCAAGAAACAGAGTTGGAAAAGGGGATTCCAAATCACACAGAATGAGAAGACTGTCTTTTTTAATTAATCCATGAGACAATAGGGGTCATTGGCTACACCAGCATTCACTGCCCATTCCTAATTACCCAAAGGGCAAGTGAGAATCAACCACATTGACTGTGGGTCTGGAATCACCCATGTAGGACCAGGTAAAAATAGTGGTTTCCTTTCCTAAAGGATATTAGTGAACCAAATGGGATTTTCCAACAATCTGCAATGGATTCATCATCATCGTTACCCTCTTAATTCCAGATTTTTATTTAACTCAAATTCCATCATCTGCCGTGGCGGGATTCGAACCCAGGTCCCCAGAATCTTATCCGGGTCTCTGGGTTAACAGTGCAGCGATAGGCCATCGCCTCCCCTTATCGTTGCTTGGGCCACTGTTGCCACAAAGGTGCTGAAAGAGCAGTTGACTGTCGATCTTTGGTCTCCAGCCACACCTTTATACTCTGATTGGTCCATGCGTTGCCAAGGGAATGTGACCAATTGGGGAGTCCACTCACCTGGCCGGGCGGCAAAGATCAACAGTTAACTGCTTCCCCCCCCAACCCTGCATCGCCGTGGTAATGATGGCTCAACCAATCAGCAGATCTTCTCAAGCCGTGTGAAATTTTTTTCAACCTTGTCCCTCACCCTTGCTGCTGACCCACTCGGCCAGCTGGTCGATCCTGAGCCGGAGCTTCTCGAAGACGTCGGCGGTGCCGGACATGGCCTGATGGGAAGACGTCACACGCTCCTGGAGCTGCAGTTCCATCTCCTCGCTGGTGCTGCTGGCCAACATGGCCAGGAACGGCAGAGCACTCTCACTCTGGCCCTCCCTGCACGCTGTAGGGGGGAGAAAATAACAGCAAGGCAACAGTCGCCATCACACAGGAGTCTCACAAACCCCACCACAACAACAACGTGCAGTTAGATGAACGGGGCATGGAGTAAAACATCCCAAGGTCTTTCACATCAGCGCAAACCGCACAGGGAAGTGAGTTGGAGACAAATAAGGAGATCTGATCAGAAGCAAAGAGGTTTACTTTAATGAGCATCTTAAAAGAACAGAGAAA